GCAAAGGCCATTCAGGTAGACGGAAAGATTGCAGGTCTGGCTGCAAACCGGGCCAGCAGCGTCCCCGTGGTATGTAATCTTCAATGTGCTCCGGCAAGGCTTAACGCAGCCCAAAGGCTGTTTCTCGGAAAGTCACGAGAACCTACAAGCTGTCACAAGATGCACGACTGCTATTACATGACGGGACAAATACCAAAGCAGAGGCCTTGCGTTCAACCAGTTGCAGAACTTATCTCTTCTGAGGTACGGAGAAATCCACCAGATAGGTGCGCTGTCTCGTGCGAGTGCTGCGCAAAGACACCAACCAGCTCATATGCCTAAGTGGCACACGGCACGCTGCTCGAAGAGCTCAAAAGTGGCAGTTGGAGTGTCGAGTTCCATGCGCAAGGCTGCAACGCTTGTAATGGAAGTCGCCGAAACCGAGCCCCCGCTGTCTGCATTCGTGTCGCTGAAACTCGGTCAAGTGCTGAGCTCCTAGAAGAATGATGACCTGAGCGGAGGCCGTGCTCTAAGGGTGCTCTTGGTGTCTCCGGCCTGCTTCCTTCTTAAATGGCTTGAATTACACCGACACGGCGGATTCGTGAATACGCTGCGGTTGTGGCAGGGCGAGTTTCGTTGAAAGCAGGTGGGGGGCAACAGAGCCACCTTGCCAGGCTCTGAATAAATGTATGAACCATCTTCAATGCAGTGGCTCAACAGCGCACGATTTCCAATGAACATCATGTGCGTGCCGAAACATTTGACACTCACACTTGGAGCGTACATGGTCAGACCAATTATAGTGGAATGAAATCTGTCGAAACGACAAGGTCATCATTCATCCAGAAGAAAGCTATTGTTTTCCTCAGCTCTGACACGTGGTCTGCTCTGCTTTCGGGGCGCATTGAGGACACATCGCGGCACAAAGTACCTTCGCCGTGGGCAACAGCCAGCCGCTCGCTTCCGTACTTCCGGTCAAGCATGTTTCTCATGTCTGGTGGCACATATGTTTGCAAGTGGCAGAGGGCACGTGGACAGGTGAATCTGGAAAGTGCTCAGGGGAACGTTTCAATAGTGCCGAAGTTCGGAAGAACATCCCAGGGCACAAGTAGGAACTGAAGAGCTTGAGGACCAAAGCCACGACGACCTGGGCTGTCAGCACAATCGATTGACCTAATGGTGACCTCAAACTTCCTTGGCTTTGGTCATCAATCTGAATCTTGCTCAGGGAGGACGGGCCTCGGGAGCTTCTTCTATGCACAAAGCAGAGGCTTTGGGTATGCAGGGCGTGGTTCTCGGCTGTGGCTTTTTTCTCATTCAGAGAGGGCGAGCTGGCTAGGGTTGGGAGGGCGTGAAAGCTTCAGGGGCCGAAAAGATGAGCTCCAATGCTTGGGCGTTTCTGCTGGCGCCATCCCATCTACTCAAACCTTTCGGGTGCACTGGCCACTTTAGGCCTGTAGTCGAGCCAGGGCGCGGCCACCCAAACATTGGCACCAAGCTGGCTCATGACGCCCGTTGAGTAAGCAATGCCCATACCTGGGAGGGTCCAAGGAGCCGGCCGTCTATCTCTCTCTCTCTCTCTCTTTCTCTCTCTCTCTCTCTCTCTCTCTCTCTCTCTCTCTCTAGCTAGACTCTAGCCAATTGAAAACCCAAACTCCCAATTCTCTCAACCCCCGAGGTAGTGGCGGATCCAGGAACCGTCAGGAACCTTGAAATCCGGGAGCGGATGCTCCCGTGCATGCGGTCAAGAGGCGGCTCAAGCCAATCCTCGGAACAAGGTTCGTCAAGGTTCACCGCTTTGGGCGAACGGCTTGGAGCTACGGTAGCTGTCGGGGCGCATGAGGCGACTTCCTTGGCTTGTTGTTGACAAGAAGCTTTGGGGACAAAGTCTTATCATGTGTCGGGGCGACTGCATGTCGGGATGTGCAATAAGCCTTGGCTTTGCGCCTGGATCTGCGCCACGCCGTGTCCGATATGTTAATTACAGCCGACAGGAGTTCAAACCCCGCGTTTGGTGACAGCGAAAGCCCGAAATACCCCAATTCAATGCAGAGTCATAAACAACGATCCACTACAAGTCTCCTAGTGTTAAACCAGAAGCCTGTCCTAGGACCCAGCTACGTCCGGGCTTCTGTCTAAACACCCTCGGCTCGCATTCGATGCAGGTTTAGGGTCAAAAGTCTAGCTAGCCTGTTGGCTCGAGGATTCGGGGATATGCCGGGGCTTGGATGTCCAAATCTGTTCACTCCCCGGAGCCATATCACCAAACACCAAAACACCAACTCTGTAAGTCCTGTTTCCGAGAATCTGGGTAGGTACCGCGCCGTAGAGGGCTCCTCCCAGGTTCGCGAAACCTAAAGCCAAAAGCTCGTTGATCGCGATCACCTGTGCGACTGGCATCTAATGCTTAATGCAATGATTCTGCTCGCCGTATATCCCAAGAGATCCTCGGATCCTCTTGACTATTTCCTCCACAGGCTTCAAGGTTCTAGCTTTGGTGAGATGGAGCTTGCAGTTGGGGTTGGGCTCGCAAGGTTTCGGAAATAAATTCTAACTTTAGATCAAATGCAAGCAAACAGCCGGTGCAGAAATACACACACAGAGACATAAATGTACATTCATGCATTTTTTTATGGAAATAGCAGGCCGGTCTTCAAAGCTTGCCGCCTGATAGCCAGCCTGCATCGCAAACCTTAGCAAGCAAGGCGGCAAAATCCAGTCATGACGCGTCGGGTTCAACACCAAGGCAGCCTTCTGTTGACGTCATTTCTGTCAACAACACACACACAAATACTCGTACATACATACATACATACATACATACATACATACATACATACTTTTTACACTAGTTTCGAGAGAACGACCGAGATATAGAGAGGGGGAGAGAGACAACCAGACAGACGGACCAGTCTCCGGTATCTCCTCCTTGCTCCTTCGCTTGACCCGAATCGTGAAGGACAATTCGTCTTGCTTCCGACCTGTGAATGACGAGCTCTTCTGAAGTCTGCAGCTTTGTAGGCATTGAACCCGGAACCCCCGACTTGGCAAAAGAGTCTGGTAAGTCTTCCCTTTCACATAGCCCTTATGCAGACTCGGAAGCAGCCGCATGGGAAATCAATCGGATGTGAACCATGCCAGAAAGCTTTTTGGCACCGGCAAAGGAGGAGAGGAAGGTGACCAGTGCTACCATGGTCGCCCCCGGGAGCATCTCCTGGAAATCTGCGACTTAAGGCTTGGACATCGCACCTCGGAGTTGAGGGGTTAACAAAGCTAAGGACCATGACGACCTGACACGACCGTGCCGGGGGACGGCATGCCCTCGGAAATTGACTCAAACTCCTCCGTCCCGAGCTAGCTGCATGCACTCTTCAGTCTAGAAGTTCACCAGAGGCTGTGCAAACGTCGGGCATTAATTAGATTCCCATGTCCTTGCGACTTGTGCCGCGTCTAACTATACAAGCCTTAAAACATGGAAATGTCCGAGCATGCGCACTGCGGGGCATTAAACTTTACCGTTAAACTCGAATCTCCGCACGTGGCTCATCTGTTGGGCCCCTTACGCGAGAACAAGGTCAGAAACCGAGGCAAATCCCAAAGCCCCCGAGAGCCTGAGGCGCACGGGGAAAGCTGTAATTGATTGCTCATGACATTCGCGGCCGAAATTCGCCATGGAATCTAGATTTTTCAGGAGGTGAGATTCGAAACTGTTCCGGTTGCCGAGCCTGTGCTAGCGCCAGGTCATCCGCTGTTCGGAGAGGCCAGGAGCTGCTTGGGAGGCCAGCTGGGACATCCTGGGCTTGCCAAGACTCCCTACGGCGGTTTGCTGCGCTTCGGACAACAAAGCAGGGCTCACACCACAATGAACAATAACAACGGAAGTAAACTTCGCGCACTTGATGCGAAAGAATACAGCTCTCGAGTGTCACAATCACATGCAGTGGCCTAGGAACTGCCAGGCAAAGCACTGAGCATTCATCGACTGTGGGGGCGGTGGGAATATCGTCCAAGTATCCCCCACCACCGAGATGCCAAAGTCTGCAGCGAACCTGGCACAAAAAAAAGAGCCAGGCTAGTTCTTCGGCACACGGCACGACGAACTACGACAACTACACTATACAGTCAGAAGGATCTGGACAGATTGGGCAGAAGCCGTCACCACCCAGCCTGGTCGCAAAAATTGCAGAAAACGCCAATAGCGTGAGCTCCTGCAGCAAAGCCATTCGCCCCTGGCATTGCTAAGTGGCTCCTCCTCCTTCTGCTCTACTGCCAGAGCTCCAGCAACAATCAAATGCACCGAAGGGCTGATACTCAACACCGGAAGCCCCACACCTTCTGGGCCGGGCAGCATTCCTCCCCGACATGCTTCGTGTGGAAAGGATGCCGGGAGCGGGAGCTGAAGACCCTCCCAAGCAGTCCTTGAAGTCGCCCAGGAGTCGCAAAGTCCAGTGCAGAGATTTCAACTTCTTGATCACTGACAAGTAAGTTAAAGCACCTCTGCTTGGGGCTTAGGGGGCCCTCGCTGCCTCTTTGGATTGGATTGACACCTAGGGCCTAGGCTTGAAAGTGGGGCTGAGGCATCCCCACAAACCTGCGGGATAGGAGATCGCACTCTCGGCCGTGCTGCTCTGTTGCGGACTTTGAAATTGAGACAAGCCACTCTAAGGGTGGCCTGCACAAGGATCCTTGCAGAAATGGTAAAGCGAACACCTGATTCCAAAAGAACCTGACTGACCTCGTCGGGATGTTTCCTTGAATAAGCAACCATTTCTGACAACACCACTCCCACCGAGGCACACAGACTCATCGCGACTGTGGGCAAGCGAACGTCTTGGAGGTCCCGCGGGTGAGACCAAGCAATGGCCTTCACGGGTTGCACAGAATCATTGACAGTGTAGCTATGGCCAGTAAGCGGTGCCTGTGCTGTAATTGCAGTTTCTTGGAAATCTGATCCTGCTGTGCATCCAGTACAGGCACGAGACTAAGCCCTTGACAAAGATGCCACCCGTGTCCGACTTGGGAAGCCCCAGCATAGGCTTTATCTGCGAAGCCATGATGAGGATGGCCTTCAGCGGATGGCTCGCAGGCGGGGCAGTGTTGGACAGAAAAACTTTCAGGATTGATTTGCTGAGGAAAAGGCACTCGCAGTGATGAAGCCACTAAGCCTCAAGAGCCGAGGCTTGCAGGGGTCCAGGGCGCAAGCTCCGCTGCGATCCACGTGCATTGAGGAAGAATTGAATGAAGCCTGGGGTTAGAGGACCTCCCGAAGTAACGGCTTCTAAGCAGTAGTAGGGATGGTGCAAGTTAATCACGGCAACTGTAGGGGTGTCCTTCACCCAGTCCAAACATGCAGTGCACCTGACAATAGAGCTATTACCCTCGAACACATATGCTCGATATAATATCCAAACACCTCTTACAGTAGCAACGGAGTGGCGGCCACTCGAATCCAAACTCTCAATCCCATAATTGTGCGGGGGTCCTCGTAACTTGACTTCTTCAAATCGGCACTATTGACACTATTGGCATGGTGAACAGGGGCAAGGAGCGCTGGGCGGGACAGGAAGCGCACGAGGAAAGCCAAACGGAAGACTCCCATCAACGTGATGACCTCGGCCAACGGATGTGCTGTTGCTTGGGGGGTGCTGGTGAATCTTTCCGGTCTCCAAAGTCGTGGGCTTCGAGTCGAGGTCTAAATGTGAGCATAACACCATTCACGGTTCCCAGGGTTTTTTGCGGCGTGTTTGTTTTCAAGCACCAGTCGAACTCAGGATAGAAAACGACAGAGCAGGACACTTGAGGTTCGGCCGCGTTTGGAACGAGCCGTTTTCCCCACGGCAGAGTTGCGAACCACTCGGAATAACACCACTATTCGGTCTAACGCACCGCTTCGACAGCTGTGCAAGCAAGTTAAACACACCTCCAAATGGATCCTGCGAAAGTACAATCGACAGTCGAATATTACCGAAAGAATGCCGGGAAAGTCAAGTTTCCGTGCACCCAGGTTTGCTTGAGTGCCAGGCGATCCCCACGAGCAGAGTAAAAATGGCACCTGGCGATCGGGAGCATCAAGGGGGTCTACTTCGGTGTTAGCTCGAGGGCCTACCACCAAGTCCGGTAGGCAGGGCAGTCGGGAAAAGACTCTCTGCGACAGGTGAAGGCAGCCTCAAGATTATGGGACTGGATTTCATGCTTAAATTGGACGTCGAAAATTGGCGGAAACATCGTCGAGTCACAGCTTGCTGAGGGTGTCCACCGGCACACACGCTCAAGAGTTGCCCCGCAAATCCTAATTCGGACACCACCATCTTGCTTTAGCCAACACACCTATCTTGGCCTCAGCACAACTAGCGGCATAAGTTTCCTCATGCTGCTGATCACGTCTCATCAGCTGAAATGGGCCCACACGCAAATTGAAATAGTGTCAATATCCGCAGGCCGCACATACCCGAACCCAAAACCCGCTGCCAAACCCCAAACCCGAAAGCCTCCTGCCTGCATGTGTTCGTTCCTCCAGATTTCCATACTGGGCGAGCCTTGAGACAAAGTCAAGGAACATTCCCAGATTCTGCTGGCATAGACCCAAACACAACCCTGCATCCAAGCCCAAATACCATTCCAAAAGCAGCCCGTCCAACCCCGTAGAGATACCACGCTGCTTGGGTACTAAAACAATACTGCAGGCACGTGCTCGTCGACTGCATCACATGAATTTCCTGCGTTTACTGCGCATCAGGGATGTATTTCGAAATGGGCACACCTCCGTTCGTCAACGAAGCTAGAGATGCCAAAGCCGGCCGGGGTTTTAATCGTTGGTCTTGCTCCTACTCTGTCCCTCCGTTTCCCGTGCGCTTGCCTACGTCGCTTTCCCTCCCTTTAGGACGGTAAAGTCGCGGACCGAAACTCCCCCTCACTGTTCTCGAAAATTGTACGATCCCTGGGACGTGCTGGGATGGCTAAGTTGCTCTTCTGATGAGGAGGCATTGCTCCCCAGCTCCCCTTCTTCGAGGCTGCGAAATGCTCGAGGTTTCGGCGACGTTTTGATTGAGCCTAAATGGCCGCGGACTGTGTCTCGCTCTCACTCGTTCGCCAGGGCTAGGGTGTGGGGGTTTTACCCCTCGCTCTCTCTCTCTCTCTCTCTCCCTCTCCCTCTCTCTCCTCCCTCTCTGCACGACCCGGCAGACCCAGCATCCCACAATGCTTAACCAGTCCCGCCAAGTGGCTGCTCCCCGGTGAGCAGAGAAATCAAGCCGCCAGTCCCTGTTGCGGGCCGCAGTCGGACGAGCAACTCTGGTATGGGACGTTTGCTGGGCTTCTGCACATGTGCAAACATGCATTGACATTAGGGCTTGGCGGCTTTGGGATTCGTACAGTTTGCGCGGTCTTGCTTGCAGCATGGGAGTATGTAGGGAGTGCATGAAGCAATCTGGGGCATGCCTGCGAGTCACGCCTCCTGTCCACTCGAGTCAAGTCTTGCCTGCAGACCTCTAGCGAAATGTGTCTGACCAGATGCATTTTAAGGCTGTTGGCTTCTTTTACAGCCTTCCAAACAGCACTTCCTGCTTGCTTTGGTGAGCTGCAACTGAGCCTATCATCTACGACGAAGACCTACAGGCTGTGACCCAGACCCAGAGGAATCGCCAAGTAGCCGCAGCTTGGAGCAATGGCAGGAATGGACCAGCACACGAACTAAAATCAACACTACCAACACTCACACACGCACGCAAAAGCAACACACACACACACACACTACATAACACTGCAAGGACAAATAGTGTGCAGCATAGCTAATAACTACATGCTAGTGGGAACAGTGGCATCGCGCAGCCATGGACAGCTGAAAGCCTACGGAAGAGTGGACGCAGGTCCCGAAGATGGAGTAGAGGATGGGCGGCATGATGCAGCTGTAGGGACCGTGGATGAGCTGGACCTGTCGCGCTTTTTCCTAGCCCCTTCGAAGATTCCTCCTCACTCTTTCCGTCTCAGATCTTGTCACACCCTCGGGATGTTCATGTTGGAAATTTGGTCTGAAGTTGAACTTTTAATAAAGGAGGCAGTTGTCTTGGTTCCAAGTCGCTCGCGCAAATGTCATGTGGCTTACCGTAGTGCTTCGCTAGGACCTTTGGTGGCCTTTGCTGTGCAAAGTCGTTGCGTTGGCCGTTCGATTCACAAGCCTATACTGAGCTCGCATGTCCAACTCAAGCAACAAACAGGCAGAACCCAAAAACTGGTGCCTTGCACAGGTCCGCGTGTGCCAGGGACTGCGCTACAAGGATGCATCCGAGAGTGATGCCGCCAGAGAGGTCCTCCAGCGGGTAGGACTTTGGACATGTCAGTGGAATGATTAATCAGGTTGCCTTAGAAAAAACCCGAAACCATAAAACCCTAATGAAGCATACGGCGGACAAAGTCGCCACATCGAAGCTACCTAAAGGAAGTTACTGCACTCATGACTACTCCTGTTCCTGCATCAAGGTCTTCCTGTATTACAGGCAGGGTGCATCCATACAGGGTGTCCGTCTTACCCATGTACAATGTACAAGCACTCGATGAATGCTGCAAGCAATTAAATTACAAGTATGTTGGTCTCCTCTGCGAAGCGCAGCTCTGCAGTGCTACGGAATACTAGGATACATGCATTGTCAGTGCATGGTCTTTCACAGCGAGCATTGGACGTTTTGCATTGGAAGACCTGGCAGGTGTCTCGGTGGTGAAACTTGTCAGGAGCATCACGAGCATGAGTGAGGCACGGCCGCAAAACTAAGCCAGGCCGTGGCGTTCTAGCCCTATGACAAATGAATGATTCTGTCCTGTGACCAATGCTCTTGATGCTCTGAAGCAGAAGCCGAAAAATCCACAAGGCGCAGAGGTCGCGGAGTTTAGCCCATTTGCTTCGAGAGTCATTCCGAGCTTCTGTCCTGTCGGGGCCGAGCCCACGTTGGCGGCTCTTGGATCCACGGCGCTGCATAGCGGCTCTTGAAGTGGTCAAGAGCTTTTCCGACGATGGAGTCCAAGCTGTCATTGAGCATTTTTTGCAGATCCCCTACTTGCCTGTCAATCTCTTCACGTACCGCCTCCTGCTTCTCTCGGTGAGCATCCGTGCCTTGACGCTGCTGCGAAAGCTCTTTGCGGAGCTGCAGGAGCTTCTCCCCTTGTAGGAGTGTCTCTTCTTCAGGCGAAGGCTTCCACAGCAGCTGCCTGTCGTTCAAGCGAACCACTCTCAGCCATTTCTCCTCGCTCTCGTCCACAGCCTCTGCTAGAATCTGCGCTCCTGGCAGCCTTTGCTTCAAGTTTCGGCTCAATTCGTACAAGGCCGGGGCCAACTCGAAGCTCCTGTAGACGATCGCCAACTGCACTGCCATCCCTTCAGGCGCAGCCATGGAGTGCTGTAGGCACATGTAGGGTTTACTCCACCGCCGCTGCTTGTGGTATGGGTACTGCCTCCGCATCTGATGTCGGAAGATGCGCGGGTCGTCCAGGGTGTACTGTCCATAGTCTGGGCCACGTGCCCAGAAGCCCTTCCGCGCATACTTGGCAAAGCTGCGGGTGCATGCTCCGAAGCCGAAACCCAGGCTGGGCCTCTGGCGCAGTCCCAGAGCTCGCAGCATCGCAGAACGACACCGGAGGGTCGAGAACTGTGGATTGAAGATCCTGAAGCCTTTTTGGAGTTCAGGGGGATCGTACACGGAATTGTCTTGCCTTTGTGCAGGTTGTCATTCGGTCTGCCCTGAGTCTTCTCCGGCGAGTTTTGAAGCTGTTTGAGCCAACAGTCGCCCAGCTTCAGGGACATTCTGCGAAGCAACTGTTAACTGTCAAGTCAGGCGCTGCTAGTTACTAGCTCGCAGCATCTCTCCTTGACCCCATGCTCTTGCCAGCTGTAAGCCGGCAGCCACTCGACGATGGGCAGAATCCTGGGCAATTGTAAGGCCAGTCGATGCTGCCGTGCGACATGTGCACAGGACTCACGGCATCATCCAGACCGCAGGTACAGGTTCTTGGATACCGCAACCTTTAAGACTTTAAGCAGACCTATGCTGCAATGACAGCAGACACCAAAAAGAACAGCCTCCCAAATTCCTCTTCCACTGTGCCTCAAAAGACTTCATACATCCATGACCCCCTGCAAGACCAGGAAGATACGGAACTTCTGAACCAACAAAACTTTGAAAAGGTTAGATTGTCATCAACTCTGCCAGTGTAAGAGAAGGCCTCTCCTGCCCAGAGGCGATGCTTTCTATGCTTTCAGAAGCAGACCCTGGACCCAAAGGCCCGCCCCCCTCAACGTCTTCAACCCCTCAAGTTGAGAGCCTATAAGCCCAACACCCCGAAACCCGAAATCCACAACCCTCAGACCCACACCTCTACATCCTTAAACCCCACAGCCGAAGATTGCAACCCCAGGCCCTAAACCGTCAAGTCACTTATAAAGCGTCTCCAGCCAGCCGGAACGGGGAGGTGCCACGAAGGGCTGGGGTTCTTGCCTCGTCTCCGGATACAGATGATTTAGGCTTTAGGGTTTGGGGTGTTTGGGATTTGGGGCGGGGATTTATTTAAGGGCTTCGACTCCCGCACTCACACCCGGCAGGCACGGCTCCCCCGACAGGTCTGGCAGCAGTTTCGGAACATGGGCCCCAAGAATGTTGATGAGAAGGACCCCTGAACTCAAAATACTGCGTTCCTGTTCTGAGATGCTCACATCTGAATATGTCGGAGCAACGAAACAGATTGCCCAATTGGAGGTACTTGCGTTGTCCGACGCTGTCTCCAAGCCCACTCACCAAAAACACTCGTCACACGAAGCCCGAGCACAGTGGGAAGAAGACGTCTGCCTCAGGAGCCATGGCTACGACGCTGAGGTTCCCACGAAACCTCTAAAACTCTAAAGGGGGTTCGGGATGTATGGTCTTGGTTGCTGTCTTGGTTGCTGGGGTTTCGGTTTACATCATCGAAAGCCACGGGTTGCACATCAGATTCGTCAGATGTCAGATTCACCGAACTTTGAAGACCTGAGGCGCCAAGCCTCTTATTCCTAATCCAAGCTTTCGGGTTACCTCCGAAATGAAGTGCGAAGTCGAAGGGCCGAAATCCTTAGGGGCTGGGGGGTGTTTTAGGCTTCGGGTTGAGGGTTCCGGGTGTGAGTTGTTATGCTTGCTAGCCATGGTGAGCTCTGTTGGCGGATTGTATGGCTGCTCACTGCTGGGGATGCATGTCCAAACACTTCTGGCAAACGCTTGAGAGGCGAGTGGTCCATGCAGTACCCCGTCCCTGAATTGCTACCCAACCCCAGTGTCCTACACCCAGCACCTGAACCCACAACCCAAATCCTTTATCAGCACCATTATCATGCCTGAAGGAAGAAGCAATGATCGTCAAAATAAACAGCAACATCTGTGGGGTCCAAATTATCGCAATGCCTACACTACACGCCAAACATCCAAGAATAACTCGAGTAGGCACTTCAGAAGATCAAGCCATGGACCACACGGAAATCGGCCAATCATGGGCATGTCGTGATCACGACTCCATTCTTTGCCATGGGCCGTAAATCGTAGACTCAAAAACAAAATCAGAATCATGTGATTCCTCGAAACTCCTTATCCGGGCATACGGAAACACGTGCCACGAAGCCGGGCCACATGACTAACACTGTTGTGTCAACACGGAACAAGTCGGATCAAACACTGGGTGCTGCCAAGGTCTGCCACTTAGCTGAGTTCCCGGGGTCAAAGAAGTCCATAAATTGTAAAAGTCACCGTCCCAGTCTCAACTGCTAAGATTTACCAGCTTTTCAGTTGAGGTGCATCGGCAATGGCAGAATAATTACTTGTGGGACATCGTGGGTCAGTGCATGTCTGTTGAAGGGCCTGGTCACATCCCTCTGTTTATGCGCTACTTGGAGGGTCGGGGGACTTAGTAAGTAGATAGTAAGTAGACTTATAAGTACCCTAAAAGGAACCCTAATTGGGGTTATGGTACTTATAAGTCCCTAAAGTAACCAGTTACTAAGTCCCCCGACCCTCCAAGTAGTGTCTGCTAGTGTGCGCGCCACCCACTTCACGAGCTCTACAAACACGACTTCTCCCAACAATTGACCTGTTACTGAGTCGTAGCTTGCAAGGAGTTGCTTGCAAGGGGCTTGGCCGACGACGGCCAGTACGTGAGTTCATGACGACATCTGGCAGCGAGTCACATAAAATCCGAATTCTCCACCTGTGTGTGGTGAGGCAGCACCAGGAGGTTGAATTGTTTACCTTAGGCGGTCATGCAGAGTGTATCTCCATCAGGTTGTGGCTTCTGAGCTCGGCCCGACCAAACTCATGGCCCTAACAAGCCTCTGAGCCTGGGGCGCATCGCGACAGCCCACCTTCACAACTTGGCGCTGGTGAGGCTTCCCGGCAAAGCTCTACAGAGCTCTGTAGGTCTTTCCAGTGACGTGTTGCTGCCAGTCAGGTTACAAGCCGCACGATCACCCAAAATCCTTGTGTCAAGGACTTGAAGGATGACGTCCTGTGAGTTTTCCCCGGGAAACTTGGGCTCCTGCTGGTAGAAGATCTCGCGAAACATGTCGAGGCCTGCCATGAGAGGTCGGCTGTGGATTGCGGGAGCGAAGCGTACCCTTCCGGTCCCTTTGTTTCGGGGCCTGTAAGCTGCTGCATGCTGTCGGTATCTACCAGTCTTTGCACGATTGTGAACGGTAGAGCTCCACGATGCTCGCAGAGTCTCTTGGGAATTGATCTACGTTATTTGCTCGAACCCGAAACCCCTGACATGATGACTCAAGCTACGTCGATGCCGCCGAGTCCGGCACCGGAAGGGGAACCTCCCTGCGGCACGCGCATTGCCTGCAGCACCTCGATGGGAGGTGGCAGAGGCGGGAACTGCAACTCTCACGACTCAGAATGAAAACGCAGCAGCAACAGTACACATTGCTGCCGGCTAGCTCTTCTTATCCTTACTTTAGTTTTCATGCTTTAGTAAATAGTGTGTGGCCGTGTCATGTAATGAAGACAACGGGCAGGTCCGTGGGAGGCCCTTTGAATCAGAAATGCCCGAGCATCCAGGATCAAAGGGAACCTGCAGAAGCTTGTTAGGGGCGAGACTGCCGTCACATCCGTGCTGTCCATCAGGCTGTGACCTCATCAGTTCGAAAGCATTTCCTAGTGAATCAGCTCGGCAAGCTGTCTTAGATCTGGAAATCTGGGCAAAATCGGGAGCAAACTGCAAATTCCGCGGTCGGTGCCTACCATGCAAACTCGAAACTGTGGTTGAGGACATGGGAGTTTAACGGCAGCAGTCATGAGGCTGACAAGGCACATGAACAGCAGTCGTTCAGGGTCAGATTTCGATCTGTGGAAGAGCGATCAACATGAACCATGCTTGGCGGCTAGTCCTAAACTTGAAGCTCTGCCACCACCCCAACGAGCTCTCGGCTTCGCGACAGGTCCACCAGCTCCCTCCCGGGCCGGTACATGCTCTCGGCCTGTGCAGGCTGTTAATAGTAATACCAAAACAAGCACCACACCACACACTATACATATATATATATATAAATAAATAAATAAATAAATAAATAAATAAATAAATATATATATATATATATATATATATCTGAGAACCCGAAGCGCCGACGGCTTCCATGAAGAGCCCGGCTCCAAACTCGACAGAGTCGAGGCCCGGTCAAATGAGTTTAGAAGCAAAGATGGTCTTGCCCTTAAGACGACTCGCAAACCATGGTCGGTTCCTACGAAGGACATTCGTCGGCGTATAGCCCAATAAATAACGCGGCTCTTGGAGGATCGACAACGAGCACACGACAACAACACGCTCATCAAAAAGGCTTCGGCCCGCAACCGCTCAACCCCCCGAACCTGGAGGCCGCCAACCTAAACACTTCGAAGCCTGAAAACTGCACGAACAAGCTCGCTGGAACGAACACACCAACAACTGTACGACTTTTGTGTATGCACACGCACACTCTCTTATCAAATATACATACATACACACCATAACATACCATGGCAACAGACATGCAGCCATAAAGGCATGCATACATGCAGACAAAGTGTACATACATACTATACTATAGCAGCCATAACATGCCATACATATATTGCACGCACTGCGTGCACTACCTGCACACATATACACGTATGGAACTGCTCTGTTTATCCATTTGCTCGTCCTTCTCAACTTGTGTACAGTGTGTGTGTGTGTCTATATATATATATATATGTGTGTGTAGAGACTTGTGTATATAACCATAGACATAGACACATATACATATACATATATATATATATATAAGCATAGGCATGCACATGCACAAGTATATGTACATGTTTATGTGAAAAGATGTATACAGACCTACATATATATATATATATATATATATATGCATATGTACCCGTCTCAGGATGTGTCTATACACATGCATGCATATGAACAGATACATTCTCGTCTGCATGCATGCATGCATACATACGTAAATACAGACATACTGTATATAATTCAATGTAATACAACCAATCAAGAAAACATTCCTACATGCAACTCTTTATATGTGTATGTATATATATATATATAGATATGTCATTCATTACATATTTATTTATATATATATATATATATATATATATATGTATATTCACATGTGTATATACAAATACATATCAGATATTAACTTTGGCTTTATTGAAAATGTAGAATACTATTCTATGATTGGGTAGAAAATGAGATGAGAACAGCAAGAATACGAGCAACATTCATATAAATGTGTACAACTGACATTAGCCACCAACAGTTGCCTGTGGCCGAGGCTCAGACCCAGTCCAAGTAACTGGACACTGCAGGGTGTAGAGGATAAGTCTGCGGACATATAGGGTTCAGGACAGGGCTTAGGGTTTAGTGGGGCTTCGGTTCAGGGTTCACTCTTTGCGACTTAGTTGAAGGGTGTCGGGGTTCAGACTTGGAGGCGTCAAGGTCCTTGAGTTCCGAGGCACAGCTTGCGGGGGCTGAAGAACGAACGGTGGGGTTTGGATGTTTCTGGCTTTGGGACTGGCATGGGGTTAATGTTGGCGAGCTTCCGGTTGAGTGGGTGCCAGGACTTTGGCTTTGATAAGCCGTGCACAAGACGAAGCTTTTCAAAATATGAGTCTGGCCTGGACCGCCGGCTAACACGTCCCTTGAACCCGGCCTGCTTCTTGAACTCCTTGTGCGTGAGAGCAAGGTCCTCGCTTTTGGCATACTTGAGGAAAAAGAGCATGGTCCTGGAATCCGAGTGGTCAGTGACAAGCAAGATGGCCTAGTAGAACAAAAGCTGTTTTTCTCGTTTCATATAGCTGAAGGCAATACGAGGACGCGAGCCGCAATTGGTGTTTCCTGCGTTCTTACTACACCAGAGGAAGAACACAAGGAGAGAACCCCATGATTGTTTGGAGGCTGGAGTAGAACAGGAATGTCATCATGATGATATGAATGTTATGCTGATCTGAAGCATGACTCGTAAATGATAAAACAAACTTGAGTTAAACTTGGTAACACTACCAGTGGTAGCAAAAACATACAAGCAACAATCGCACTCATATGGCCCTGGTCACCACTCGTCCTCTTCCTTACATCAGTCATCAGCTCTTCAATCCGGCTGTTGCAAGGGTTCCGTGCTCATGTCCCGACTATGCTGGGACAGATCGACTGGGAGGACTTGGCCATCAGGGTTTGTTTGAATTAGGTCAAAGATGGTTCTGGGTCCCGAAGGTGTTTAGGATGTAGGATGGAAAAATGCGTGCTCAACAGCCAAGATGCCCAAGCACAACTGCGGTGTCGAGACATATCAAAACTCCCTAGCTGACTGAAGCAGTTCGAGAATAGTTATATAACCTTGGTACTACTTTTGAACCCAGGCTCAGATCCTGCATCAGCTAGTAAACGACAATAATACTACTCGAAGAAGCACCCATGAAAAGTCAATACCGATCAAAGACGCAGGCGAAAGGCCGATACGACTAGGGAAGCGAACTGAACAAATAGAACATCCTACGTCCCCCGAAACCCTCGATCCCCACAAAGTTCACAGGCCTCACAGCACAACCCGAAAACTTCATGAGAGCTACTATAGGGACATTAATGATTCGAACGGGGTTTTGGGGCCCATTATATTATAATCATAATAAGGAGCTCCCAAACCAGTTAAGGTAGTTGTTCAAGCCTCAGTAGTACATCCCTGGGACCCGGGCTCAAGGTGCGCCAGGAGACCCTTGAGGTCTTTGGGCGCCACTTTCTGAGCGAAGGAAGCAGGATCCCATGCGTGGTTTTTGTGACACTCCACCAGGATCCACCAGGTGGGTCAGGCTATTGGATTGGATTCGGAATTTGCTTCTGTCGTTGATGTATGGCCGCTTTGTTTCCGGCTGCGGTCGAATCTATTTTTTCAGGTTCTGCATTTCTGGTTTTCAGGATTGTGGGCTAGTCTGCTCTTCTCTCTTAGCCCTCGTTTCGTCCGCTTGTCGTTCGTTGTGCCGTTCTTTATCAATCTCTACCTCCTCTAACCCTATCTCAACCGAGGGGAGTAAGTGCAGCTTCTCGCTCAAGTAGACCCTACGCCACTACTATAATCATTATGAATCCTGTATGACCCCTCGACTGCCTAAACCCTTCTTCAACCAGGGTCAAGGTCTTTTTGCATTAGGAGCTTCTACTCCTGCCCGGATCAGAAACCCCAAACCCTTCACCCATAAATAAAGGCCCTAGTATCTATAAGCCCTCATAGCTTACTTAGAGTATATCAGACAATGCTTGCCATAGTATGCTACATCATTCTCTAATTTAATTTGCTATATAACTGATCATATGTTACATGATATTCTACCAGCAAACCGGAAACCCCCGAGGAGCCTCGTCTTCCACCAACACCTTGGCCCTCGACAGGAACACCTTCAGTCCAAGAGGGCTGCAGTAGTACAGGGCCCTTGATGCCCAGAATCAGGTTTCGTTGTAAGTTGCCTAGAGGCTCGTACCCTACCCGTTTTTAGCGTACCTACTTGTCTATATAACACATCCTAACTAAATAAACAGGTGCCCTAAAACAGGGGTAGGGCATGAGCGTCTAGGTACAGTATCAGCTCACAAGTTATTCAAGCCCCTACATTATTCATTATTCGTTGGCATGAGCATAAGAGTGGCGACCTCGTGGCTAGGGACCGGGTAGTGTAGAGGATTTTCTTTAGCTGACATGCCATCTCCTCAAAGGAACCTGCGAGTCTCTGAAGGTTTTGAAGCAAAGGACGGAAACTCCCATGCTACGCCTCAAGCGCACTCCAGCCAGTTCTATAGTCGTACCTTCTAAGACGTCAGAGTCCAGGGGCTCTTTACGACCCCTCTGTCCAGAGCAAGCGCGAACGCATGCAAATACTAAATAAAAGGCACTTCCGAAAGAATCCCCATCCATGACCACCCCGCTAGCGGCCAGAGATCACTGCACACTGAGCCAACTCAGCCACAGCTCCTTCCCCGAGATTTCCAGGAAACCCAAGGAATATGCTTACCCTGAACTGAACGCAAACCCTGAAGCTGCCAGCACCTGGTTGACTCCGTCTTCTGCGCGGTCGACCAAGCGCAGGCCTTTCTCAGGCAATGCAAAGGAAGCAACTGCTTCTGGAGCACAAGCAGAAGCACAACCTGTGATGCACAAACTTAGGGTCCGGAAAGGGATGCAAGCAGGTCCGCTTCTGTCGGCTGGGGCGTACATGGCCGTAATTACTTGTAGCACGCAAAGCTTGCCTTCTAGGCATACGACGACCCAGCCTGAACAAGTTGGGTTAAGTAACTTCATGGCCACGGAAGTGGCGCAAGCCCTAGCAAGCCCGCAAGGAGTTATCCCCCATCCCCCCAACAGCACGAAGGGCTAAGCGCCCAGCAGATGTCCAAGTCGGTGAAATCGAAAGGGCCAAGCCTGAACTTGAACAAGTCTTTGTTTTCAAGGAAGACCTACAACGACATGTCATGACACATGCATTATACACAGGAGCACATGATCATTTCTATCTAAGCGGACGATTCATTGTGCACATCCAGAAACACTGTGTACGGGAACAACAGCGTTTATAGTAGCACTGTCGATGAAACGAGTCACATGAAACAACTGCATCACTGGCAAGCAATGCAACTATCACCCATCGTCATCATCGTCAACATCTTCTTCCTCCTGACCCAAACATGAGCAAAGCCATTCTTTAACCGCGATCTTCACTGGCACGGTTCAGCAAGTTTGAACGGTGAAGCAGTAACATAATCTTGCAAAGACTGCACGAAGTACGAAACACACACCGAACTTACATAAAGCTGACATCAACGTCAACAGCGGTGGGAGCACGGTAGAAGCAGCAGCAGCAGCAGCAAAAGCAACTCGACAGCCACTGTAAACTCACGATAGAGTCCGATAAAGGTATCAAGCACCACCAAAAACATCATCATGCTTGCTCCAGGCTGGCGTGCAGATAGAACTGCCGACATCATGGTTTTCGTCATCAGTGCAATAGACACAGCTGTAGGGGCGCCGGCTGCTGACACCGCATGACCTGCAAAAAGTATCTTTCGGATTTGAGAAGCGTGGGGGCTCTGGGAGAATCTGCGCACATGTCTTGAACAAAGGCTGCCAGATGCGGAAGGTTCTTGAAACAAACGACTGAATCTCCGGTGAGCTCAAGGCAAATACTCCACGCCACTTGGAATCTGGCAACTCACTCTCTGCGAGTAGGCTGCAAACTTCGTGAACTTATCGAACTTACTTATCAGTCCCTCAAAACTGCAAGACATGTAGTTGTCGTTGTTCCCGGTTGTTCCTACCTGGTTAACCCTACATCCTTACAGAAGCCACGGTGCAGTTTTTTGCTTTGGAACGGAGCACGATTCCCCTGCCAGACAGCCGAAGCACCCCCTCTAGGCCGTGCAAAGAACCGCTGAGCTTTACTGTTAATACTAACCAATATTATTCTCATCACCGTTATTAATATGGTAATGAGAGTAGCAATGAGTATAATCATAATCATGATATTCCGCGAGACTCGAAATGTCACTGCTGTGGTACCACGGACCGCTTGGCACTGCTCCGGCAGCTGTGAATCGGGACTCTTCCGGAATTGGCCCATTGGCCCATAGGCTCCGAATTGAGGGCAAGACATGGGCCGTGAGCTTTGGCAGATAGCGCCCCTTTGCACCGCTTGTGGCCACGGTTGATTCTCGAGATTGCATGTCGAGTTTACTTGTGATTGCCGGCCCGCTCGTCGGCCTCCACTGCACATGGTAAGCACTGACTTTGAGCACTGTGTGATGCCAGCGGCAGTTTAACGCACTGGCAACCTCTATAGCTGCTAGGGGAAAACCCAAGGTGCTTGGGACTGCGCAGCACGCGTTGATTCAGTGCGATGTGCCGCTTCAGTATCGATTAGTTCAGCCTCAGGCACCCAGGGTGTTCTCGGCTGTGTATGTCATGTACAGGAAGCCATCATCGGATTTGTGGTTCTCGTAGATTTCTGCCAGCGGCGCGCCGGTCTTTGTGGCCTGCCGCAGGCTGAAACATCACACTTCTGGCGGACAGGGTGTGTGTCAAGTAGCAACTGCCTTGTTGCCAGCCAGCAGATAGATCACCTCAAGCATTTGTCATTTTTGCATGTAACCGAATATATGCACAAAATCGACTTGTCCCAACTATCCAACCAAAGACTGTCCTTATCGTTTCGGCGGCATCGTAGCTCTGATTCTCGATCTGTCTGCCCGAAAACCTAGTCAAATGACCAGACCCTTCTCCTCGCGTCAGCTGCAAAGCGGCTTCCGTTGATGACATAGCTCCCCCCGCTGCTAGCTGAACCTTCAAGTCACTGGGGACTCAAGCTCGGACTTCCGACTGGGTAAACTGTTGGTTCGAACGGTGTCCACGCACCGTTGTGCAACATAAAGCCCCGCCACAGGTACCATGTGTCTCAATGACTCCTCACTAAACTCTCACAGAGTTGTGTTGACACGCCATCCCGGTTCCAAACGATATCCGATATCCATACCTCAAATCAACCTTGAACCTGCTGACACTGCAACTGGAACGGAGGCTTGATACACGAAGTGCCATGCCAACCCGACTCAATAGCCAAGTCCCGAACCGAAGTGCATTAAATTACTCGGTTTGGCAAGGAGCCGGACCGATGCGGCTACAGGACATGCACAATACAAGACTGATGCTGTACTGGTACTACGGTCGCGCACAGAAATATTGAAAGGCTACTAGTCGTCCTCATCGTCTTGTCCTCCTAGCTGTGTTGTTTGTGCTGCTGGCGACGCTTCTCCTCCACGCGGCACTACTCCGGCTAACGGCTACTCCTGTTCCTGCTACTCCTCATTCTGCTTCCTTCCTCCTAGTTCTACTCGTGCTGCTTGCTGCTACCATCACCAGCACCACGACGAGGACGACGTCAACGACCACAGCGACAACGACGACTACTACTACCGCCACGACCACCGCCACGCCCACCACCAAAAGCTGCTGCTGTTGCTGGCAAACGTACCATCGCGATTGACCATCATCATGGCACCTGGTGAATGTTGTTCAGGACGATGCCCTTGAATTCCCAACACAGCATCGACGACGGGGCGAGAAATTTCCTCGCAGAAGGTTAACAGGGGGGCGAAATTGAGGGCCAAGCTTGTCGGGACTAGACTCTGTGTGGCAATGCCAACCTGCTTTTTTGTTCACCAGTTGTGTTAGACTCCATTTGGTTAAAGTGCGGGCTGGCACTTGCTAAGCCAGCATAATCAATCAAGCACACCGCTTGACTGGCTCCTCCCAGTTACGATTTTCTACATGACGGGTTTGTCAGTAGCAGGTCAGAGGGAAATCGCAAACCACACCAGTCAAGCCAGAGCCGAGGATCTTCTTCTGGATCTCCGGGAGAGTGCACGTCGGTGCTTTCTCACCTCGGGCTTCCGAAGAATCTTTCATGAGAGTGCGGGGCGATCAGGGCGCATTACATGTGGGGTTATCGCACTATCGTGTCAGAAACCCAACAAGAAATGCTGCTGCCCAGCTCCCCTCTCTAGACTGTCAAGCTTGGCTTCAGAAGCTGGGCTGCTCCAAGCTACGACTATGACTACGATATCTTTTTGGGCCAATGGCCTTCATACCCTTCTTGAGCAAGACATCAATGCCTATTACGCAATGAGTCTTGCGCCTGATCCGCAGCAGGCCTTACGGGCACTGTATAGAGCCCGGACTTTGCCAATGGACCCTGGGTCTGATCGAGCAAAGACCGGTTTGTTTGCACATGAAACTGCTCAGCCCGACACAAATGACCGGAATCCGCTCAGGATACTTCGCCAGTATCCTTGTTGCTTCGGCCGCTCTCTTCTCGAAAGGAATGCTCCTTGGTGGCTTGTGAGGCCCTCTCACAGTGAGGCTAGTGCCTTCAACGGCCATAGTCCGAGCTCGGCGAGACATATGCACAGTAGAGCAAGCAGAACAGCCTAAGAATGGCTTGCTGGGAAGCTACTGCGAGAACAGGCTGGCTTTTTAGACCTAAACCTCGCGGAACCGCATGGAAAGGGTTGCCGATAGCATGTCGCCATGTATACAAGATTGGCTACACGAGAACTAAGAAACTAGCATCCGAGCTGCTCTTTCACGCTGGTGGCTGCCATCTTGCCGGTCGACCTGCACAACTCAGAGCTTGATCTGCGATAGGCAGGTGGGTAGGTAGGTTGGTAGGTCGGTAGCTAGGCAGCTAGGTGCAGTCAGCCAGACAGGCTGGAGTTTCAGATCATCAGGCGAGCCTGCGGCCTTCAAGCACGGAAAGCTCCACACGTGCAAGCCCTTGAGCGGCACCAACTAACTCCCTGCGCAAGTAATTACACCGCCCCCCTCGGCCTCGCTGAAGCACTGTACACAGCGACGGTCGCGGCTGGAAAAGAGTGTCAGCTGCGGCGAGCATACTGGCTGTGGCACGATCCTGACATGAATGCGCATCAGCCGACGTTCAATGCACATTTGCATGGTGCCGCGCTGGTATCTTGTGCTGCAGCGGCGCCGGATCACTGTAGCTTTTTTGGCTGCAGAGCAGCGGCGCGATCCCATCTTATTGCCAGTCGCCGGGGCATTGTTGTGCCTGCATACATGCCTGCTGAGGCATGGGTTCCGCTTGAACTTCGTCGAGATATCTTTCGTTCCTGCAGTATGTGTATAAATGCATGTGTGCATATATACATATATATATATATATATACACGTATAAGTATTCTACAAATGTACAGGTAGACATGTCAACAACTGTCCGGCAGCACGTCGATCTGGTAGACTGCCCGGTAGACTTGCATCTGAGTCTACGCAGTGGCTTTGCCACAGCCTGCGCCTACGATTCCACCGTGGAATGTGGCAGCAACTGTCTGTTCAAGCACAGCCATTGAAGATGCAAGGGCGGAGTCGCAAATGGTGGAGGATCCCGTGGATGCTAAAGACAGCCATTTCTATGCCTGTCAGTACCTCCGAAAGGGCAAGCACAACACTATAACTATGACTAAAGCAACCTATGAATGCTGCACTCGGGACAGGATGGTGGTGGCGGTGGTGGTCGCGGTCGCGGTCGCCAGCAGCAGCAGCAGCAGTAGCAGTGGCAAATAGTGGCAGTAGCAGTGGAAATGGCAGCCGCAGCAGTAGTAATTGTAGCAGTAGTAGCAGCAGTAGGAGTAGTAGGGATAGGAGCAGTCGTAGTAGTAGCAGGAGCAGCAGTAGTAATAATAGCAATAGCAGTAACAGTATTAGTACTAGTACTAATACTGGTACTTTTTGGCTCCCACTCGTATACTAGTACTAGTACTAGTACTAGTACTGGTAGTAGTAGTAGTAGTAGTAGTAGTAGTAGTAGTAGTAGTAGTAGTAGTAGCAATAGTCGTAGTATAGTGATGCAGTAGTAGCGGTAGTAGTAATGGTCGTCATCGCAGTCGTAGTCGTGGTGGTGGTGGTGGTGGTGGTGGTGGTGGTGGTGGTAGCAGCAGGCGTAGTAGCAGAGGAAGGAAAAACACCAAGAAAGCTGAGAGGAGGAGGGGGAACATACAGAACAAGGCTAGTGAACTTGTGTCAACGATGATCATGAGCAGTGGAATGGACAAAACCACTGCCATCTCTTCTGTCGTGAAACCTACGGCCATCACATCATCATCCTCACTAGAAGCAGTCGCCATAATGATATTATGTACCTGGTCATGTCCCGCTCACTCAACCAGAACTCTTATCATATCTTTCATAAGAAGACTCACCATACCGGTTGCTGATAGACAAGGTCGTTAAGCAAGATGATGCTCCCAGAAGATCATCAAACAAATAACACACGCAACCTCCGGATTTGCGTCTCAGCCCCCGAAGATGAAGAGCCTGGCCAGGCTCTTCAATCTTACTTCAAACAAAGACTACCCAATTTTGTACAACGGAGATTAGCTCCAAGCTTCTCCGTGAATCTATGAAAAAAAGGGCCAGAAGCATGATGTTCCTATGTCGGCAGGTATGTTGCTTGTATCGTCACACCCTTACGAAGTGTAGGAGTGGAGGCGGCGATCCTACCCTTGGAGAATGAGCCTCCCAGGCTGTACAAATGCTGGTTCGAAGCTCTCTTGATGGGAAGAGTGGGCAGTCTGAAGGAGCAAGCAAATCAGATATTTCCGCTAGTCAAGGATTGGCACACATCGCTGGTAGAGAACTGAAATGTGCGTATCATCTGAGAGTAAGCACACCATGAAGAAGCGACAGACAGACGCGACGTCAGAAAGCGCAGGAGCATCCTTGTGCTCTGCGCTGCCCCCTCCGATCCCACTCCGTTCTGCTTCCTGCACGACTTCTCGCATAATTGCTCCCCTTTGCGAAAGATTTCGTAAAAACGAGAGATTAAGAACCAGCATGCAGGTTTCATGATTCATTCATTCAGCTCCGACTACCCAAAAGACGGCCTTGCACGCATTTAGCCATTTAAGTGGCATTGGCACTGAAATTTAGAGTAGGAATGGTCACCTTTGGCTGCAGTTCAATGTATCTTGGAAGCATGCCCGCAGTGTCACGAGGAAGTCGCACAGAAATCGACCCTTGGCACTGACGCATGGCAGAGCAAGCTGGCGTCCCCCGGCACATGCTGCATTTTCTACTTTCATGAACAAGTCTCAAACATCAACCTGAACCAACGTTCGAGCCAGCCGTGCTCGACTAGCTTGGCGCTACAATGACTAGGGTCCAAAGACTTCACGGCTGATGCGCGGCATTGCGTGCCATTTGCAAGGCGTTGCCGCTGTCATACCCTTTCGTTAAAGTTATCATTACACAGGAAGGGGAGGTGGACCTGGTAGCACAAATCGACCAAAGCGGAATGGCATTCACCGACTCTACACTGTACAGAACTATACCTGCTTCGCAATTCGATGAATTTCAATTCGCCTAGAAGGCCTGCAGAAAGCAACACGTTTGTTAACAACCTTCGCCAGCCAAACAACCAACTATAAGTCCTCATTCGGTTAAACCTGCATTTAGTGCAAGGAGAGTGCGTGGTTGCTGTGCTTGGTCCGAAGCTCTGGCGCTGGCGCATTGTGCATTGACTGTGCTACTGTGCCTCGGAGCTTCGCGCATCACAAGCGAAGCTGAACCCTGTTGCCATGCAACGGTTTTGTTCTGTTCTCTCCTTCTCTCCTGAGCATGTTGCGGAATCTTCAATAAGTATATACGGGCAAGAAGAAAAGGTAAAAGCCCTCCCTACGGTTCATTTACTGCGAGGTGGATCCCCGCTTGCTCCGGCAAAGCAAATGTTGTCCACACGGCAGCTGGGCGATTGGCCACAGCACGCACGAATTTCTGTCCGGAAGGCCCCCTTGTCACAGTCTGGCAGTGGCCCTGAACTTAAACATGCATCTGCATCATCGTTGAACCACGCAACATTCCCAGGCAACTTGTAGCGCTGCGCTGGGCAATCGGCACCATCATGTGTGCTTCTGTTGGCCCGTGTGCATCTACACACACTTCGGCCTGCTTTGGACAAGGCATTGGTTGTTCTAGGGCACAGGCTGTAACAAGATCCAGAGGCGCAGGAACCTTAGACCGTCGTCGTAGCAATATAAGTATTCTAGCAATAGCAATCGTCGCCGTGGTCGTTATCATAAAACCACGGTGTTGGTGGTGGTGGTCCTGGTAATAGTAGTGGTATAATGCTCTTCGTGGTGGTGGTGCCCGGCGTCGTTGCGGTTAGCCGTCGTCGTCCCCACAGCGCAGCAACAGCAGTAGTAATAGTACGGCTGCGAAAGTTCTACAACTCCCAGGCACGATCGTGCCGGATTAGGAAAAGACCTGGGGGCCCTCCCTCATCCCAGCGTGTTCTCAGCACTGTAAGCGATGTACAAGAAACCATCGTCGGACTTGTAGCCGTCATAGATCTTCCCAGGCTTATTCGCCGTGTCAAGTTCGACGACACGCAAGCTTTCCACATCGAGTTTAGCCAGTTCACCAGGTTTACATAAGACAAGGAACTTGATCTGAAGTGGCACGCAGGGTCTCGGGTGTATCCAAACTAAACCGCCACTACACTATCACTAATACGTCATTCTGCCTGCCTCGGACATCAGCGCACCCGTCCTCGGCTCCAGCATCAGTAGCATCAGTAGCAAAAAGGTTTTGATAAAGTGATCCAGCGTAACGTGCTTGCGCGAGAGCATGCCCAAACGGAACTTGGCATTCCCAGCTGCCGGGCTGGAACTCAAGCAGCAGGGTAACTGAAGGGTTTGACTGTTTGCGAGCGCAGGATCCAGCCGTCAACGTGTCCAACAACAACTACTACTGCATCACTCCTAATAACGAGGCCTTGCTTCCCGGGTGTAACTCCCATCATCTAGACCCAACACAGCAGCAGAATCCTGTGACTCCATCGGACACAAACATCCCAAATATAACATCTCAAAACATAGTCATGCATACTTGTGACCGGTGCTTGCAAAGACTGCGGCCTGGGCCGACCACCTCCAAACCCTCAAGAATCAGGAGCATCATCTGAGTACTGTATGATGTTGTTGCTATTGGAGTGTAGTGTAGTGTTAAGGTTAGGGTGACAGGTTTCTTGATGGCAGCATGTGGTCAAGGGCTCGTGACCATGATTGGTTAAAGCTTTTGTCTGACCGAAAAAGGATGGGATTTCGAGGCGATGCCAATCTGCCAGCTGAGCCTCTTTACCGCGGTGTTACTGCGTCCGTTGGTGGTAAAGAGGTAGATGACCTGCCACGATCGTCCCAGGCACAGGTTGAGGGCATGAAGGCATAGCATGCCATGATACCGTAAACAGCATACCAACGATGTACAAAGCACAAATTAACATTGCTGTGCATACGGTACACCCGCACGAAAGCCCGGAGCCTGAGATTGCGTACTTGCGACTGCATGCAGCGCCGCACAGGCACTCGGACTTGCTAGTCGCGGCTTTCTAGACATTCTTGCAGGTAACGATCGCGAGACATAGTCTCAGCATGATGCGTGGGGAGTGGAGCCTGCCTGCAGGTCTCTTTTATCCAGCGAAAAAATGCACAAGGCATGGTCGAACTGCTTTTTCAGTTGAAGATGAATTATCGTCCATCATGACGTTTTGCGGCCGGCATGTGGCAGAATCGTTCCAAAAAACATCATCCGCCACTACTTCTGAAAACACCTTGAACGGACATCCGCTGTATCTTTTGGCTGCATGCTGATCTTTGCCCGGCCGTCCTTGTTGTCCCCTATTTCAAGGCTAGTGCGGCTATATTCATTTTGACAGAAACGTGATTTTGTTTACGTCGGCACATGCTGCTGGTGCGATGTGCAAGGCGACCCAACCGTCGTATTCAGCCAAAGCATGCACGCCAAATGGCTGCGAAGCAGCAGTTGTCCGGGTTGTACACAGCCTGCATGCCCCAAACCGCCTTTGACGGCTTACCCTCGGACTGGTGCCTCACAGCAGCGGCTGCTTTACGACGATCCGGTTCAAAATAGAAGTCTGTATACTCGTTTGATAGCTGCAAGAAAAAGTTCTTCGGGCCCGTATTGGGCGAAGTTAAACGTTCACTGTTGCCTTTCAGATGCAGGGAATCTTCATCTCGAAGCTCCAATTCGACAAAGTTGTGGTTCGAGCCAAGCTTGGATTGCACGGCCGCTGGGAAATGAATCCTGTGAAGTCGACTGGCATCCTCACTGAAGTCCAGACCGGTGGTTTCGAAAAGGACGCGTGCTGCGGTTGCCAAAGTAGCGTGGTTCACTCCCACGAACTTGGCTTGGTAAGCATCCACCACACCACATGGAAGTCCACATTTCTCCTTCTCCGACTTCGTGCGTAGAACGAGATATCCGTGCCGATGGTGGCGGGCTATGACGTAAGAGGAGAGCTCCGTGCGGTCCTGCATAGCGTCGCACTAAGGTCGAAGGCAGCGGGAAGTTCAAAGTGTCCTGCCTTTGAGCCAAAAGCGAAGTTCACCTTTCGCTGCTGCCGTTAGCTGTCTCTGTGCGCAAGCCGCCTGTTGAAAATACACTCTGACTCTGCCTTGAGGCAATGCTCGTAATGATGAACACCAGTATAGCTTCCATGAACACTCATCGCTGTGGAACCACGACGGCATTATGATTTCAGTTCTGCGGATCAAGGTGCTGCTGACGTCCGTGATAGCGACAATGCTGCAAATGACGCCAGTGCGATCATGAGAACGCTAAAGACAACGATTATCATGATGTTGAATATCTGCTACTCGTATGATTTGAGTCGACATTCAAGCCCAAGCAGCAAGGACACGAAGGAATCACACGGGCCTGGTCTGCAGCGAGGCCAGTTCCATTTGCGGCTTGTTGGATGTGCTTGTGCACAATGTACTTAAACTCTCCGCAGAGCCTGGGGAAGTGGAGACTACTAGGATTTCAACACCGATGCTCCTGAAGCGAGGATTGCAGAAAGCTTATTGAAACTATCAGAATACTGTGTGGCCGACTCCAGGAAGCTGGAGCTTGGACACATAAGGTAGGGGTAGAGAGTAATTCTGCTTTCTTGGGGACCCGCGGCCTGCAGCATAACAGGAATGGCTGTGCAGGATTTTCCCAAGACTACGGTCATTGGGAACTTGTAGCATCTTGTGGCTTTTGCTCTCTCCCGTTCTGCCAGGCTGCATGGAACCCGGCACCAAGAACTTCTTCCTCGAAGGGACGGGAGGCAACAAACGGCCGCGCGCACGGACTGGTTTAGAACGAGCGGCTTCTCGATCTCGGGCAGGTTGGTGCGTGGTGCCTTCTGAAAGAACAAACGACTGCTTTTCTTAATGTCTCGGCTCAGGTGTGTGGCAGTTTCCGGACAGACAGACAGACATAAGGGCTGAGCGAGAGAAGGAAGAAACACCAAGCAAACAGTCATATCTATCCCACAGTTGCTGCCCGCATGACCTTCTCGCAGATCACGGGCACGCGATCCGGATACTTGCCTGGGGTGGGCTGGCAGCACTTCCGAGGGTCGAGAATCGGGAGTCCGGTCCTAGCAATAGGCACCTGCAACGCAGGCCGATGATTCTCTGTGTCTGTAGCATGTCATGTGAGCACAGGTCACGCTCGCAAAGAAAGAAATTCCTGCGCTCGCCCGACTGGGCTTCCCGAACAAAAAAACCTTGGGGCTACCGAGGAACTGAGAATCCTCGAAGCCTCTGCCGCGCGCTTCTCGAAGGGAACCGTCTCCTGGCCGCGGGACAGCAAGAACCATGCAGAAATGATGAGAATAGCAGCAGCAACAAGAAGAAACAGCTCCACATAAAAGATTATAGCAATTTTGTACTCTATGACCGGTGCTTAGCACTAATGTGCGAGTGGTTGGGTCTCAGCTAACGGTCTTTCGGCTGTATGCTTACAATTTCATGGGACGACGAGGTATTTTGGTTTGTAGTGTCAGCTGCAAAATTCGAGATGGGGTTGTGCGGAGGTTGGCCATTACCTTGTGCTTGACAGTTCTCCAAACCTGGCCAGTGGATCAACCGTTTGCAGACTCAAAGGAGTGGCGCTACAATCGAGTTGCAGAACGTCTGTGATGGTCATGTTTGGGAGAGACTTGCTTCCAGCCTGCCTAGCAGCCTAGCAAATTCGCAAAGGATATGCATGGCTGAGAATCATCCAGGTATCAGCTCATGATATGGGGAACAGGCTCTTGCAAACACGGGTTGACATGGCAGTAAGCCTACCGCATGCTGCGACCTAGCCCTGGGGGACGCATTTAGGCGGTCAGGGGCTTAGGGCTTTGGCGCTTCTCCGACTCTGGGGACGCAATCCTTCAGCGACATCGTGAAAGCCGTGCCTCAGCTCTTGGTTGGCAAGACGTCAAGTGGCTGCTCGCGACGCGCACTGAAACAGGCTTAAGGCGTCTAAATCCTGAACTTGGACCTCAGGGGTCTGGGACACCTGGTGGGCCCCCTAGCATATGTCCAAGGCTCGAATCAGGGAATGCGCAGTCGAGAGGGTCGTGCCTCTTGGACTTGAGGTGAAAAGGCTGCAGTTCAAGCGCAAACTGCAAACCAGGTCATGCGTTGGCACGGAGCTAGGATGAGCTAGGCTCGACTTGATTTAAGTTCACCATAACCAATTCCTCATCCCAGTACGATCCTTCCGGTCTTCGTTGTTGACAGGAACGACACTCAACCTTTCCACCAAAGCTTCAAATGTTTCAGTTTCTTCTTGGAGTTGCATCCCAAGCTCACGCGGCAGATGCTTTTCAGGTGGTAGGAGCGCCTTTGCGACATCTGTTCTGCACCCCAGCTCAAGCACATACTCTCAGTCTGATCTGGAGTGCCGTTCGATGCCTTTCGCATAACCTTCTTGGCCTAAGAGCATGAAGAACCGTCACACTCCGAACTGTCCACCAGATGCGACCACGTAAACCCAACGGCTCGACATACCCAACTGTTGAACTCTTCGAAGGTGCTTGCTGCTGTCCTTGTGTATTCATGCGCTTGAACTCTTCCTCCTCTTTAACCAACCAACCGGGGTGCCTCGGCTGCCTGGTCTTAAGCTTCAGCCGGTGTGGAGAGTTTAGGGTTTGGGAACTCGCTCCTGTGTTCCCAAGGTCCAACATCTATGTCTAGGCTTCAGCCCAGGGCGACTGGACGGAACTGGCTAAACTGCACGAGTCGTTGACAAAGGATGGCTTCCGTTCAGCATCTCGTCCCAAGTCGGAGGACTGATTTGGTGTGCAGGCAGCCAGGCATCCCTCGTTCCTTCAGGTAATTTGCTTGAAAGTCATGTTCCAACTTCTTCTCGGCTCAGGAACTTCGTAAGATGTTGTACAAAGGTGGTAAACATGTCAAATCCCCCGGGCAAGTTAAAGCCATGTTTTCGGGCGCACACGAAGTTCCTCAAGACCTTAAGCACGGACCTTGTGGTACAGCGCAGACTGTCGGAAACGTTCGGATAGCCGCCAACTCGCCGACGCAAAACTGAGCCTATCGTCATCGTCGTAGTAGTATAGCAGTAGCAATAGCAGTAGCAGTAAGAGCAGCACTAGGAGTAGTAGCAGTAGTAGTAACAGTAGCAGTAGCCGTAGCAGTAGCTGTAGCAGTAGGAGAAGCAGTAGGAGTAGTAGTAGTAGTAGTAGTAGTAGTAGTAGTAGTAGTAGTAGTAGTAGTAGCTGTAGCAGTAGGAGAAGCAGTAGGAGTAGTAGTAGTAGTAGTAGTAGTAGTAGTAGTAGTAGTAGTAGTAGTAGTAGTAGGAGTAGGAGTAGGAGTAGTAGTAGTAGTAGTAGGAGTAGTAGTAGTAGTTGTGGTAGTAGGAGTAGAAATAGGAGTAGTAGTAGTAGTAGTAGTAGTAGGAGTAGGAGTAGGAGTAGGAGTAGGAGTAGGAGTAGTAGTAGTAGTAGTTGTTGTTGTTGTAGTTAATAGTAGTCGTGGTAGAGAACAAGAAGATAACTCAACTAGTTGTACTGGTAGCAATAGTAGTGAGGCAGTAGTAGTAGTAGTAGTAGTAGTAGTAGTAGTAGTAGTAGTAGTAGGCAATCCTTTGTTGTCGTAGTAGTAGTAGTAGTAGTAGTAGCAGCAGCAGCAGCAACAGCCGAGATTATGGTGCGGGCAGTTGTGGTGGTTGGCGGGGTGGTGCTTGTGCTACATGTGGTAGTGAAGTGGTGAGCCAGCGGTTGTGAGTGGATTTTGGTGGTCAGGGAGTGCGAGGAGGTGGTCCAAATCAGGATGAGGGACTAGCCCAAGTGGCGTTTATAATAGCAGCCAGAGTGATGCAAGCTCATGGCTGTATGCTTGCCGCCATAGCTCTAGGCTACAATGATGCTGCGCATAGGCATCGAAAGCTGGCCACAAGGTCCTGGTGGCCATCATGCAACTGTCAGGTTTCTTCGCTTCTGGTTGACCTGACCACGGCCTTTGCCGGCCACAAACTCGAAACGGTTGTCATGGGCCTGGGGGCGACGCAGCAACTTTTTCAAGGAGCCGGTACATGGAAGTCTTTCCGCAGTCTAATCCTGTCGCAGGAAAACAAAAGCTGGATAATGTTGCGCCTGACTTGTAACCTGAGCAGCATGTCAAGTCTGTGGCCTTACCGTGCTCTGTGCGAAGCCGGTCTGGAATAAGGCCATGCAGCCAATAGCTTGGCGTGAGACATACAGGGGACTCTCACGAGCTCACGCTTTAGCCCTAAGGCGACGACTCCCCAAAACGACAGTTGTAAACGTTCAGGGTGTCAGAACTCAGGATGATGTCAGGCAAGCCGTCCACACAGTGGGCTTTTGCATTATGAACATTAAAACTCAAATCTGCTCGAATCTTAAGCAATTGGTGCAGTCTATCCATTCCCATCTACGCCAAGAGGAAAAGGCGCTCCTTTCTGCAGCCCCCTGTCGCCTGGGACCGTTTGCCCCGGGTTTCGCTTGGCCTGAGCTCCCTTGGTCTCGGCCGGTGCGACTGCCGAAGTTGACCGCACGGCATGTGACTCAATGAAGCTTTTCTGGGGTGTAGGGTTTGCTGGACGTATCACGTGAGAGAAGGCATTGGAACAGTATGTTCGCGCCTAGCCATGATAGATTGGGCTTCGGGCCTAGCTGTATAGTTTGAGGGGGTAGAGGAGTTAGACAGCTAGCCAGCTGGACTTCATCTCTTGGTGTCAAAGCTTGTAGCAAACTTGGAAAAGCCCTGCGATGTGTCATCTTACGTCATCTTGCTATATCTTGCTGGGATTCCTCAGAATCGATTACGCTGGATTTATAATTAGAAAGGTCTGGACAGCCCACTACAAGTACTTTGTGCATGTCGCTGACCAGATGCGGCCTTGCCCCTCAATCATCTGCTTCCACAAGCATGCATCATGAGATGGAGCGGACGAGCCATGGAATTTTTAGGACCACCTACCGAGCCACCTACACCTGGTACTGGTACAGTGCATA